CACGATGATGCCAGATATGTGACTATTGGTGATGATGGGGTTTTGAGGATGTAGGGCCGGATATGTGTGCCCAATATAGATGGGCTTTGGGAGTTGATTCTAGAGGAGACCCATAGCTCGCGGTATTGCATCCATCCGGGTGCCACAAAGATGTACTAGGATTTGAGACAACATTACTAGTGGAGAAGAATGAAGAAGGATATTGTGGGATTTGTAGCTCGGTGTCTCAATTGTCAGCACGTGAAATACGAGCATCAGAGACCGGGTGGCTTGCTTCAGCAGATAGATATTCCAAAGTGGAAGTGGGAGTGGATCACCATGAATTTTGTAGTTGGACTCCCATGGACTTTGAAGAAGTTCGATGCTATTTGGGTGATTGTGGATCGGCTGACAAAGTCCGCGTACTTCATTCCTGTGTGTACTACCTATTCTTCAGAGCGGTTGGCAGAGATCTATATTCGAGAGATTTTTAGTTCGCATGGTATCCCAGTTTCTATCATTTCAGATAGAGGTACTCAGTTCACTTTGCAATTTGGAAAGCTGTGCAGCGAGAGTTGGGTACTCAGGTTGAGTTGAGCACAACTATTCACCCTTAGACGGACAGACAGTCTGAGCGCACTATTCAGATATTGGAGGACATGTTGTGCGCTTGTGTCATTGATTTTGGAGAGTCACGGGATCAGTTTCTATAGCTCGCAGTATTTGCTTATAACAAAAGTTATTAGTCAAGTATTCAGATGGCTCCATATGAGGTTTTATATGGGAGACGGTGTAGATCTCCTACTGGTTGGTTTGATCCAGGTGAGGCTAGTCTTTTGAGTACAGACTTAGTGTAGAATGCTTTGGACACGGTGAAGGTGATTTAGGAGCAGCTACGTACGACGCAGTCAAGGCAAAAACGTTATGCTAACAGGAAGGTCCGAGATGTGTCTTACATGTTTGGGGAGAAGGTTTTACTTAAGGTTCCACCCATGAAGGGTGTTATGAGATTTGGGAAGAAGGGTAAATTGAGTCATCGATTGATTGGGCCTTTTGAGGTGCTTTGGAGGATTGGGGAGGTGTCTTATGAGCTTACTTTGCCACCCAGCTTGTCGAGCGTGCATCCGGTATTTCATGTTTCTATGCTTCGGAAGTATATTGGCGATCCATCTCATGTTTTGGATTTCAGCACGGTTCAGTTGGATGGTGATTTGACTTATGATGTGGAGCCAGTGGCTATTTTGGAGCGTCAAGTTCAAAAGTTGAGATTAAAGGATATAGCTTCAGTGAAAGTGCAGTGGAGAGGTCGGCCCATGGAAGAGGCTACCTGAGAGACTGAGCGGGAGATGCAGAGCAGATATCCTCACCTATTTGAGACTTCATGTATGTTTCTTGACTCGTTCGAGGACGAACGTTTGTTTAATAAGGGGAGGATGTAACGACCCGACCGGTCGTTACATGAGTTACCGCTCTGTTTCCCCCATTTCTCCTTCTTTATGTGTTGATTAGTTGTATTATGTGGTATCGAGTTTTTTGGTTCGAGTTCGAAGTGGCTTTGTTGAGAAATGAGACACTTAGTCTCTTAGGTTGGCCTTTTAGTTGGAAAAGTCAACCGGAACTTGACTTGTGAGTAAAAGATCTCGGAATTGAGTTTTGATGATTCAGATATCATCGGGAGGAAATTTGGGACTTAGAAGCGTGATCGGAATGGGTTTTGGCGGTCCGGGGTAGATTTAGGCTTAAATTGGCGAAATTGGAATTTTGGCATTTTTCGGTTGATAGTGGAAATTTTGATATAGGGGTCGGAATGGAATTTCGGAAATTGGAGTAGGTCCGTGGTGTCATTTGAGACGTGTGTGTAAAATTTCAGGTCATTCGGACGAGGTTTGATAGACTTTTTGATTGAAAGCGAAACTTGGAAGTTTTGGAGTTTCTTAGGCTTGAATTCGATGATGATTTGATGTTTTGATATTGTTTTGAGTGTTCCGAATATTTGTATAAGTTTGAATAGTGGTATATGACTTGTTCGTACTTCCGGTTGAGGTCCTAGGGGCCTCGGGATGATTTTGGATTGTTATCGGGAAGTTTGGGAGTTGGAGGTTGCAGCTGAAGCTGCTGAGTTCCTGTCATAATCGCACCTGCAGATTGGGGACCGTAGGTGTAGGCCCGCAAAATCATAGAGAGGGCCACAGATGCATCCAGATTGTGACGGATAGGAGCCGCTGATATGAAGTGTGGAGAGCACCTGCAAAGGCGCAGGTGCGGGCATGTTAGCGCATGTGCGATTTTGGGTGGATAAGTGGGTTCCGCAGGTGCGCACCTGGGACCGCAGGTGCGAGTATTTTACCGCAGGTACGGTATCGCTAGGCAGAACATTTAAATAGATGCCTTCGTGAATTTTTTCTAAGTTTTGCCATTTTTGAAGACGGGAAGAGAGCTAGGACAATGGTTTTTTAAGAGAATCGAAGGGTTTCAGTTGGGTAAGCTTCTTAAGCCTTATTATTTGTGTTTATGACCATTTATCCATTGTTTAATCATGGTATTAGTGGAAAATTAGGGATGAAAGTTGGGAGATTAGGGCTTGGTATTGGAGACTTTGATTTAGGGATTTGAGGGGATGTTTATGGTCAGATTTTGGTGTATTTGGTATGTATGAACTCGTGAGAGTGTAAGGATTCTAGTTTTGTGAATTTTATCGAAATCCGAGACGTGGGCCCAGGGGTCGGGTTTGACCAATTTTGGGATTTGTGATGTAATTTGATTATTTTCGTGTGGGCTTTGTTCCCTTAGCATATATTGCTGTTATGGTTCTGATTTTGGTTAGATTCGGTGTATTTGGAGGCTAAATCGAGAGGAAAGGGTGTCGCGGGCTAGAGTTTGGCTTGGCTTGAGGTAAGTAATGCTTCCAAACTTGGTTCTAAGGGTTCTAAACCCTAAACTCTGTGTTCTATGATTACTAGAGGTGACGCAAATGCCAAGTGACGGACGTATGGACGTGCACCGTGAGAAATGCGGCTTGGATCATTCCATGGCACTTCTTAGTGACTCTTTTATGCTGATATTTATGTTGTAATTATGTGATTAAGTTAATGAGCTGCAAATCATGCTAATTATCATGTTAAGGCTTCACGCCAACACTGTTAAGACCCGAGAGGTCGTTTCTTGCTATCATGTCATTAGCTTCATTTATATTCTATGGTCAGTTCTGTACATGCATATTATATCATGCCTCAGTCTCAATTATTGCTATTTGACATATCATATCATTGTTCGGGCTAGTATCATGACATTTTTAGCTCGTGTGTGTGAGACTGGAGAGTATTGACTGAGTGAGGCCGAGAGCCTGATATTGATTGACAGTATAGGATCGGGCTGCACGCCGCATCGAGATATTGATCATGACTTCGCTGGAATTAATATAGAGCTTGGGCTAAAAGAAGCCCCTCCGGAGTCTTTACACCCCCAGTGAGCACAGTTGATGATATTGAGGGATGAATCTTCCTTGGACATGGATCTTATCTAAAGTATTGGTATGTAGATGGATCTTCTCCATGTGGCTGGATTGGCATGTTTCCTCGGTACTGGGTGACTTATAGTCAATGATGTATATATTCCGGGATGGATCTTCCCTGGGCCGAATGAGCCATATACAATACCGAGTGGTTGAGCACTGTGAGTGGAAGTATTATACGCAACATTGATCATGCTATCCGTGCATTGGTACTTAGAGGCTCCTGAGCTTTATACCATGTATTGTTCATATTGTGTTTAATCACTGCTGAGAATTTACTTGAACTGTAAGCATGCCTACTTCTCTGTACAATTAAATGTCACTACCTATTGAGGTTTTGTTCGTCACTACCGTCAGTCCATAGTTTGGACTTGTTACTTACTGAGTTAGTGTACTTACGTTACCCCCTGCACCTCTAAGTGCAGATCCAGGTATCTTGGGGCACGGTAGCGGTTGCTGATCTTACCAGTTGGAGACTTTTCTCTAGAGATTGTGAGGTAGCTGCTTGGCGATCGCAGTTCCGCCTTCTCCTTCCTTATCTTACTTGCAGTACTCTTATTGGATTTTCTCAGACTATGTAGTCTTGGTTATTTCAAACGGCTGCAGTATTTTGCTCATGACTTAGTGACACCCGAGGCCGGGCTTGTATTTCTTTCCGTTGGATTTGATTTCTACTTTTATCTTATTGGATTTCTGCTAAAAATATGATTTTCTTAAGTTTTAATTGAAAAATGGAGTAAATGGGTAATAGTTGTCTGGCCTAGTATCACAATAGGCGCCATCACGACCGGGGCAGTTTTTGGGTCGTGACAATATTGGACATTATAGAGTGGTAATGTATCGCCAATACAGAGGATTCTTATGAAATTATTTTTATTAAACCTTCCTACACATTTTTAATAATAATTCAATAGACAAAATTTTATTAATTTTAATATCTTAAATATTAAAAATTAGCAAAGAAAGTATTGTAGTCCAAAATTAGGTTATTGAAGTTATGTCCTTTCCTTATGAGTTCTTTCGCTTAATATTTTAGGTTTATTTTGGTATATTCATATTGTATTTATGCTTTTATAATAAAATAGGCTCTCATTTTTCTAAATGGGGTTGGACAATATAATACATTCTCAATTTAAATTAGTAATAGGATATTATAATATGTTTTCGAATTAAATTAGTAATAGGAATTTTTAAGAAGTATATCCTAATAGTAATATGATTACATGACTAAAGATATTTACTTGTTCAATTTTATACGAATTAGACAACCCGGAAATAATTATACTAATATGATTTCTAAAGGTAATCATGTAGGATTCTTAATGTGCAGTATTAAATCCTAAAATTAATAGGATTATAAGGGTAATATCTAGAATTCCAGTTATGTCCTTTTTATTATGAGTTATTATGTTTAATATTATAAGGTTATTTTTGTAAACCNAATACCTTAGTCAATCGATAGAAAAACCAACAATCACTCAAATAATAAAACTCTAGCCCAAATCACACACTAAGACTATAGAGCATCTAACAGAGTAACATGATTTATTAACGGGTATGCAAACCCCAAAGAAAAAGGAAATAACTAACACGAGCTAGGTAAGTCTGAAACGAAAGCCTCCACGAACAATGCGGTGGCTCACCTCAGCAATACGATCTACTCGAATAAACTCGTCAGCCATTAGCTTTATCTCCCGCAACAGTATCTGCATAGAGATGCAAGTAAGGAGTGAGTTATACGTAAATATAACCCAGTAAGATCCTCGGCCCGCCACTTTAAATACCTTTGGAATAAGTGTTGGAAAATACAAACACATCACAATACGAATGATATAGTAAATATAATAATTATACAATAACTCAATATATGTGTATCAACAGAGTTATTAAGAATTAACCAACAAGAGTACCCACTAAAGACTTATCATAATTGCAGTGAAAGAAATTTACCAATACACCTACGAGTCCATAACGGCACCACAATGCCTCAAATATGTAACAGAGCATATACAATGCCCCAAATATATCAAGAAGCATACACAATGCTCGGGTGATATACAAAGGCATACACAATGCCCCAACATCATGGCGCATAGCCGTATCAAACTCAACATCATGGCGCATAGCCGTATCAAACTCAACATCATAGCACATAGCCATATCAAACTCAACATCATGGCGCACAGCCGTATCAAACTCAACATCATAGCACATAGCCATATCAAACTCAACATCATGGCGCACAGCCGTATCAAACTCAACATCATGGTGCACAGCCGTATCAAACTCAATATCATGGCTCACAGCCGAATCGGACTATCAAACTCAACATCATGGCTCACAACTGCATCAAACTCAACACATGGCTCACAACCGTATCAAACTATCAAACAACTTATAAAATAATTTTTTTTTGTATTTTCATAAAATAATATATTTGCGGCTAGTCTACGACCACCGATTCTGCCAAGCGCACGCTTGCCCCAACACATGGACCAGGCAGAGAAAACACACTTTCAAAACAGGTTTTAAAAAAGCAAGTATCAAAGCTTAAAGTCTCACTTACCTTGCCAACGACAAGTTTCCCAACCTTGCGACTTCTAGAACACCAACCAATCGGCCTCAATCTATACAAGGTATTATTAACAATATCAACTATATTAGTCGGGATCAAATCTTAATATCCCTAACTTTTAAGTTTAGAGTTGAGTCTTAATATTCTACCTATCAAGTACCATATTGTTAAAAGTAAAGACATATCCCAATATCTCTATCTAACTAAATGTTTAAAATAAATGTCCAATATACTAATATTCATGTCCCGAAATAATAATCCTAGAGTATAGAATAGAAAAGAACGATACAGGGGTTTATAAATTCAAACATTCTGAAATTTTGAAAACTTAATTGCTCACTCACGTTGAAACTAGTCAATTCTATACCTATTATTATATCCAATCATCGTACTATAAATATGTATCTTCTCATTGTTACCTAATCATTCATTAAACATTGTATCTATTAATTAAAATAACTAGAAACCGAAACTGTTATTAACATAGGAAATGCTTTTCCGCAGCATGCTATCAATTCCAATTATCAACCTCTCTGGAATTAAATGGAACATGTACCATTGTAGTAAAATCAATGCAATACCTGATAATTAGTTTCTCCACCAAAAGATTCTCGCTACTAAACTATCCAACCAACTCGTTGCCAACCTCTTCTTGTCGCTGTCATTGTTTATGCTATTTCCACTGTATTGTTGTATCTCTAAATCAACCAAGAAACCAATATTTTAAATCCCTAGGTCAAACGTGGCAGCACCCATTTTAAGGGAATGGGCTTGGCCCACTCTTTTTATCTTAATAGTCTTAAGCACAATTACAAAATTAACTACTAGCCAATTATTTAATACACTATCTTATATATTATAATAAAGGAATGTTTACCTCTTATAACAAAGGTTAACATTTTATTTATTTTAAATAAATACTATTTAAAAAAATTATATTCTATAGATACCTTTTAATGTTTATAGCAAAATATCTAATTTTGGTTACCTCCTACCCCTAAGCCACTAATTACGCTATTTAGTTACACTATTTTCTTTCTCTCTCTACTTTGATATATCTCATTCTCTTCCCCCATCCCATTAAAATTTCCGCTCTCCTCCTCCTTCCCCATTCTCGTCTTCTGGCACTGCCAAAAGTATTCCCACCTATTCTCAACTAAATCGGTCTAAAACTCTTTTCAACTCGAATAGTCACGCCTTCGTGATTGCAACTATCGTCCAGCATAACTCGAAGGTCTTAAGTTGCTGCCTCCATGGAAATCACTTAGAAGTTTCAGTCAATAATCTTCTCACCAATCGAAAAGGCATTCCAAACTACAGTTCCAACCAAGTAAAGCCCAATAGAAACCTTAAAGACATCATCACTTCCTCCAGGTTTGAGCGTGCAAGATCTTTGAAGATAGAAGGACTATTTGGCCACAAGGCGGAAATTAGGGTTTGTTCTTGAGCAAAGACGACAGAGTTTGGGGCCGAGCAACTTGATTTTCTGTTAATATATTTCAATGTATTTCCAACATATCACGCTGTATTTCATGTATTTCCAACATATCACGCTGTATTTCATGTATTTCATTGTATTCATTGTCTTTTTTTCATTGTAATTCAATGTATCTTGCTGTATTCTGTGTATTTAATTGTATTCACTGTCTTTTTTTCCATTGTATTTCAATGTATCCTGCTGTATTTTATATATGCATATGTTTTTTTAATTAATATAATTTATGTATTCAGGTGTATTATATAATTTCTCTGAAGATTGCTATGTTTTTTGATTTTTTTTCCTGTTGAGAATCTTTTTTATAACCGAAAATACAAATTTTGTGTGTTATAATTGAGTTTGTTGAGTTATTGTCACGACCCAAACCCCGAACCCGGTCGTGATGGCGCCTCTCGTAAAGACAAGGCCAGCCAGTCCAACACAGTACACTTCTTTAAGCAGTTAATTATCATAAAACAGTTTAAAGCATGATTTAATAGCAATAATTTGCGAAAATATAGATAACAATAGAAAAATCCATCCCGACACAGCCCAAACCGGGGTGTCACAAGTCACGAGCATCTATTAGAGTATAAATATGACTACAAAGTGAATGTACAAAACAAGACTGATGAAAGAGAAGGGAGAAGAGCGGTGCTGCGAACGTTGGCAACCACCTTGCTAAACTCCGATGACTCAGCCTTCGATCAGCTCAACACCCGCTACTGGGTGAATAAATACCTGCATATGCACACGAGGTGCAGGGAGTAAAGTGAGTACTCCAACTCAGTGAGTAATAAAGGTAAATAACAACTGAGCAATAAGAAATCACGTAAAGCAAACCAACATGATGTATAGAAGCGGTGTAAAACCCTTGAGAAAAATAGTGAAGCTGTGAAATCTTTAGAAATATCTTAGCTCAGTTTAAACCTCTTTTGAAAATGGCTTTTTCAACAGTTATGCAAATGAATGCAAAATAATTAGTGCAAATAAGCACAGAAATCCGCCACTCGGGCTCAACACTCAATTTAACAGGTAATGTCAGGCAATCAGGAAGATAACACATAAGGTAACACAATCAACAAGTAATGGCAGAGAAATGGAAATAAAGTAAACACATAGAACAGTACCAGCCCCTCGGGCTCACTCGCAGAACACTCTCAGCCCCTCTGGCTCACTTTGTGATCACAATGGGTACCCGCGCACACTGGGGGAGTGCAGACTCCGGGAGGGGCCCCTTACGGCCTAAGCACAATATCAAGCCATTTCGTGGCATCAAATCTAGGCCCTCGGCCTCATATCACGCAAGCCACCTCGTGGCGTATAAAAGTATCTCAGGCCCTCGGCCTCATATCACTTAAGCCACCTCGTGGCGTATATCCTCACATATGGCCCTCGGCCTCACTCAGTCCGAAAATCATCACAAGCCCGTCAGGCATTAGTAAAACAGTAGTTCTCAGCCCAAAACACCATTTAGAAATATCATTTAAGTTTCAAATCTAAGTAAAAGTAGCTGAGTTTGTAAAACAGTAGATATCAACAGGACTGAGTTCAAGTAATAATTCAAAAACAGTGAGGAAATAGTGATAAAAATCCCCAAAGGGTTCAGATAGTTGGCACGAAGCCCAAATATGGTGATCATCCCAAATAATGATGATAACAAATAAGTTTCAATCAAATATGCGGTAAAATCATCAATCGGGACGGACCAAGTCACAATTCCCAATAGTAAACGACCCCACGCTCATCATCAAACGCGTGTCTCACCTCAATATAGTACTACGATGTGCAAATCCGGGGTTTCAAACCCTCAGAGTATCATTTACAATCATTACTCACCTGGAACCGGCTAAATCTCTAGCTTGCGACGCCTATGCCCCTCAAATCGGCCTCCACGTGTGTCGAATCTATCCAAATTCAGAACGAATACGTCACAATATGCTAAGGGAACAAAGCCCAAGCGAAAAAAATCAGAAAATACCAAAAATCCCGAAATTAGCAAAACCCGAGCCCTGAGCCCACTTCTCGAAACTCAGAAATTTTCACATCATTAGATTTCTTATCTCCTCACGAGTTTATACATATCAAATTTACCAAATTCTGACCTTAAATGGTCACTCAAATTCTAAAAATTCACTCTCCATTTCAAGCCCTAATTTCCCAACTCTTCCTCTAATTTCCACAAATTTTCATGATTAAACAATGATATAATCACCATAAACACAAGGTATAAAGCCCAAGTAGCTTACCTCTGCGGATACACTTGATCCCCTCTTGAAATCACAGCTTGGAGCACAAAAATCGCACTAAAATGATGAACAAATGACTGAAAATCGCGAAAGGGCATTTTTATACCTTCTGCCCAGCTCTTTCGCACCTGCGATCCAGTAAGCGCATCTACGCTTCAGCTTCTGCGGAGAAACATCCGCTTTTGCGGATTTCACTTATGACATAGGACCCGCTTCTGCGGTCCAAAAATGCAGCTGCGGTACCGCATATGCGGTTCTCCCTCCACTTCTGCGGAAATCACTTGCCAGCCAAATCTCGCATCTGCGATCCTTTCCCCGCATCTGCGGCTTCGCAGATACAGTCCACATAGCCGCTTCTACGGTCTCAACCCATCTGACCCTTTTTTGCTTCTGCGATGAATCACCCGTATCTGCGGTCCCCTAACCGCAGATATGAAAATACCAGAAGCAGCAAATCTGAAGCTGCAACCAACATCTAACTTCTCCGATAACCATTCGAAATCATCCCGAGGCCGTCGGGACCTTAACCAAAAGCACCAACATGACCCAATATCTTATTCAAACTTGTTCCAATCATCAAAACACCTCAAACAACATCAAATCTACCAAATCACATCGAATTCAAGCCCAAGTTTCTAAGATCTTCCGAAATACGCTTTTGATCAAAAACCCAACCAAACCACGTCCGAATGACCTGAAACTTTACACACACATCCCAAATGACACCACGAAGTTACTTCAACTCTCAGAATTTCATTCCGACCTCTATATGAAAATCTCACCTATCAACCGGATAACACCGAAATCTCAATTTCGCCAATTCAAGACTAAACCTTCCACGGACTTCCAAAATGGATTCCGATCACGCTCCTAAATCCCAAATCACCTAACGGAGCTAACCAAATCATTAAAATCCCGATCCAAGATCATATATAAACAAGTCAAATCTTGGTCAAACCTTTCATATTTTAAGCTTTAAACTGGGAACTGTTCTTCTAATTTCATTCCGATTACCCTGAAAACCAAAACAACCGATTAATATAGTCGTAATACATCACAAGCCCCAAGTCATGTCCGAGAACTGGCGATCAAGTGCAAAAGCTCAGAACGACCGGTCGGGTCGTTACATCCTTCCCCACTTAAACACACGTTCGTCCTCGAACGTAACCAGAGTTATTCTAGAAGCCAACCAATAACTGAATAACTTTACCATGCATATACCCGGGGGTGATCCCACGTCACCCTATCTCACATAGGTTCGATAACACACTATAACTGAAATTTCACAATCCATCCTAGCCCATAAACCATAGAACCACATTTCCACTTCTGAAACCATCTATACTATCAAAATCTCACATTTATACTGTGAATAAGTCCAAACAAACCGTAAAAAACCATATCTGCTATCTCAGGTGCAATCACATGATATACCACATAACTCAAACACTAGCTGCGATAACTTCTAATCACAACAGCTGTTCATAACAACCGAATACCGATAGAAAACCTCTTATCAACTAAAGTCTCATTCTAACACTTCCATATACTGCCAATGATAAATGAAACACGCAATAAACCATAACTATTTCTCAGATCAACCATTCATAAGGCCAGTTCCCCACTAGCAAGGGCCATAACAAATTTCTGAGCCGAACCTTGATATTATCCTTTAAACATGCTGAATTCGAATCCGTTCGTATTCATTAATGATCCCAACGATCTCCTCTAATCCAACACACCACTCTGGTGACATGACACATCAATAGAGGCCTAAGCCACAACTAGCATAATACGCGCACCAATAAGCAACGTTCCGAACATAATCAAATCATGAAAATGACTCAAATGAAAGAGTTGTACACCAAGCTAACCAGTGCCACCTCAACACAAGGCTAAGAACCCGTCTCACATCATAGAATAGAACACACGAATCTAAACCGCAAG